GTCTCAGCAATGGTGTACCATATGCCGCAGTTCTGATTCTTGTCACAGAACTCCATGAGGTCCTGTGCGGCCACTCTCGAAGCCATTGCTCTCGTACATCCCAAGTCCAACACCATCGCGGTTGGCGTCAAGGGCTGAGAGATGAAGGCTTCCTCGATCTCATTGATCTTCTCTTCGGTGGCCATGAAAGAAAAGTTCGGAGTGTTGAGATGTTCAACAAAGAAGGTCGTAGCGGCTGTGGTGCCGCTCGGGGCAGCATCAGCAAGCTGGCTCTGTCCATCCTTTCCGGACTTTCCATCTTTTCCATCTTTGCCAAACTTGCTCTTTCCTTTGCCCTTCTTTCCTTTCTTACCTTTTCCTTTGGCTGCATAGGATTCCTCAGACTCGTACCAGGACCAGTCATCCCAGGACTGATCGTTCCACTGGTAATCTTGCCACTGTCCTTCTGCTTGCCATGCTTCGGATTCGTCGGCAAGATGAGACCTGCCTTTCTTCCTTTTGAAAAAGCGCCTTCCTTTTGATCCTTTGCCACCCTTTCCTTTGCCTTTGCGGTGGCCTTTGAATCCGCGCTTCATCTTGCGGCCTTGGAAACGCCGCTGGAACCATGAGTAGTTCTCGTCGTCGTAGACCCAGAAGGCGTCCTCATCCGCTTCGAGGAAACCTTCCGTGCCATCCTCCTCGTCCTCGACCCAGTAGCCTTCATGATTGTCAAGAAATCCTTCATCGATCACAAGGAACGTCTTCCGGCCACCGTGGCCCGAAGGAGCGAGAAGTGGGTTGTCGACGGTAGTCTTGGTCGTGCAGAAGATCTCCAGGTAGACTTCACGCAGCTCGGTCGTGGTGTAGTCAGCTAAGACTCGGTTCCGATGTGCCATCAGTGATGTCAGCACCTGCCGTTGATCCTGTGTCAAATCAGACAGAGACACAAAGATCAAGGCGACCAGGTTGGCTGTGATCGGAATGGTCCGAGCATGCTGCTCTCTGAGCCGATCGTTGGCTCTCTCCAATGCCTGAGCTGGTGTAATATCTGCCTGTTCTTCTTGAGGAAGCCCTACTATGAAAGCTCTGACCTCTGCATTGTTCGGATCCTCAATCGGCAGGTAGGTGTCGTTCCACGCCTCTTCCATTCTCCGAACAGAGAGTTGAAACCTGGTAATCCAACGAAGCATGTCTCCGTTCCCACGGTGCATGTTCATGAACTGCTGGAAGCGGTAGAGAAAAACGTTCGCTGCTCCCTTCACGAAGAGCGGTCGCAGGAAGCTCTTGAAGTACTTAACTCCGTTGTTCGGGTCCTTCAGGCAATCTCTGTCGAGAAGCCTCTTGTGGATTGCTGCTTCACCTTCTAACCGATTTCTCAAAGCTGGTCCACGCTTGTCATTGTCTAGCTCAGTAATATCACACCAGTCATCGATCGCATCTTCGTAGGCAAACCAACTGCTTCTACCATCATAAGATGGAGGTACCTTGGTGGTCACCTGCTGGAAAGCTGAGAGACGGTGTAGTTCATTGAGATGACGATGATTCGTCGCGTAAGATTCATTGCCTTGAAGGAGGTAGTCTTCATCTCCTCCATCATGCTCAAAGATAGTCGCAGAGTGGCTAGCCATTGCGCTGTTCTTGGATCGAGCCCCGGGAGAAACCTCTTCCGGTTATCTTCACCTGTGTGAAGTGTGCCGGAGAGACTCCGGTCACCTTCACCTGAGTGAAGCACACCGGGTATTCCGGTTGCCTCCACCTGTGTAGAGAGTACCGAACGGGTACCTCCACAAGTGTGAAGCTTCCCGTTTCCCGGGAGCTCCGCTACCACGTTGAGATGTAACCTGGACGTGTATCCCCTCGCTAGGCGTACAGGAACACAGGCACTCAGGTGTCTCTTTTGCTACAGGCGCACAGCTGTAGTCCACTGCACTAGAACCTTGAGCAACAGGCATGGATACATGCAAGTGATACGTGAAACAGACAGGCACCTGGATGTGTCACATTCAGTGTTTCACCCCCTCCCCCCCCTCCCCCCTCCCTCTCTCTTCTCCCCCTCCGGCTCATCCTCCCCTCTGCCCTCCGCTCGTTTTCCTTTTTTGGTTCCCCACCCTTCCGTCTTGTCCTGCCCTCACGTGTTTTTTCGATTGCCTGCTCGTTTTCTTTCACCTTTTCTTCTCTTTCGGCCTGCCCCCGGCTCCACTGTCTTTTCTTCTTATGTTTCGTTTGCGTGCTTCTTTCCTGCTTCCTCATTGAAGCTCTCGTTTTGCTGTTTTGTTGCCCCTCGCCCCCCCCCCCAGCCCTCCTCCCTCCCCGCTTCCCCGGCCCCTTTTCCCACCCTTCCGTCTTGTCTGAACTTCTTTTGGCTTGTTTTCCTTCCTTGCCCCCCTCCCCCTCTTGCTGGCCCCCCCTTCCTCCTCCGGCCGGCCAGTCCACCCTTCCGTGTTGTCCTGCCCTCACGTGTTTTTTCGACCTTTTCTCCTCTTTCGGCCTGCCCCCCACCGAGCCAGCTCCACTGCCTTTTCTTCTTATGTTTCGTTTGCGTGCTTTGGCTCTCCTGCTTCCTCCTTGAAGCTCCGTCGTTTTGCTGTTTTGTTGGCCCTCGCCCCCGCCCCCCCTCAGCCCCTCCTCCGGCCCCCCTCCCGGGCCCCCCCCCCGTCTTGTCCTGCCCCCCGTCCCCCCTTCCTCCCCCCCCCTTGCTGGCCCCCCCTTCCTCCTCCGGCCCCCCCTTCCTCCTCTGGCTTCCCCTCGTTTTTTGTTTTATCCTGCTCGTTTTCTTTCCTCTTTTCTTCTCTTCCGGCCTGCCGCCCCCCCGGCCGGCTCCACTGTCTTTTCTTCTTATGTTTCGTTCGCGTGCTTTGACTTTTTCGGCCTGCCCCCCCCGGGCCGGCTCCACTGCCTTTTCTTCTTATGCTTCGTTCCCGTGCTTTGGCTCTCCTGCTTCCTTGTTGAAGCTTCCCCCCCCCCGGGCCTTCCCCCGGCCCCTTTTCCCACCCTTCCGTCTTGTCCTGCCCTCGCGTGTTTTTTCTGTTGCGACTTTTTCGTGCACTTCTTTTTGGCTTGTTTTCTTCCCCCCCCCTCCCCCCCACCCTTCCTCCCCCCCTTCCTCCTCCGGCTTCCCCTTGTTTTTTGTCTTCTGCCTGCTCGTTTTCTTTCACCTTTTCTTCTCTTTCGGCCTGCCCCCGGCTCCACTGTCTTTTCTTCTTATGTTTCGTTTGCGTGCTTCTTTCCTGCTTCCTCGTTGAAGCTCTCGTTTTGCTGTTTTGTTGCCCCGTTTTGCTGCATGTGTTTGCTCTACACTTGCCACACTTCTCCAAGTAGCTCCAAGTAGCCCTGACCCTGCAACTAAATTACACCTGCTTTAAGAGGCCCTTCGCAGTTTGCTCTGCGCCCCTGCTGGCCCTACTGCAGGCGGCGGCCGAGGCGGGCTGCGTAGCATTAGAATTAGGCCATATCCCCGACTATGTGGAGCTCAAAGGTTTTGTGTTATGTCGCTTTGGAGGAGGCAATACAACAACAAGGCAAGTGTGACATAGCTTCCAAAAAACAGTGCATGGTGGTATATAAGTGTTTTGGTTTCTGCTGCCATTCCGTTCTTTCCACCTACTGGTTTGGTGACGTGTTGCTGGTAGCAGTGCAGGTCCCCGGGGTTCGGAAGCAAGCAAGGGGCCAAGGTAAGTAGCAACACAGTAGGGGAGAAAACACACTTGGGTGGGTCCCCACGCTCTCTCTCTCCTCCTTGTTTCTGCAGGGCTTAGGGGTCGCATAGTGACCCGCAGGCCATCGGCCCGCCAAGCCTCCCCACTGTGTTAGTTCTCTGTCTCTCTCGCTCTCTCTACGAGGTGGGGAGCCCAGGGAGCATCCAGACCTGAGACCTGGTACTCCTCGCGCGAATGCGTACCGGCAGTCCGTGGCTGTCCGCAAACGGGATTCTCCCCTGCCGGCTCGTCTCTTCTTCCGCAAGGCATAACGGGTCCCCCGGCCGCCAGGGAACCCCAGTTTTCTGAGGCTTTGAGGGGATGTGAAAGTTCCTGAGAAATTTCCTGTGTGGGAGAAGTGTAAGTATGTTAGAAGTACACAGGATTTCACAGTTGTTTCCGACGTCCCCCTGCCTTTTCAATGATAGACCCAATACCTGAATCATCAACGGCTCGTCTCTCTCTTTCTCTCTGCCCTTGCATCCAGAGATTCTAGCAGACGCGTGAAGCTCAGCATTTCAGGCCCTCAGGAAACAGTGAGCCGCCCCTCAAGCAACAGTCCCACCATGCCAGGCACACACCTCTGCCTTCACTTTCGCGGCCCAAATGCTGCTCAAACAATAAACCTCAACCACTCCAGCCTCACGAACGAGCTGAAAACTTGTGTTGCATGCATCTTTGCACGAAGTGACTGTTGCAGGATGTTGCAGGGTCACCTTCCGAGGCATCGGATTGGTCACCACCCCAATGACACATGCACCCAATCATCACACCGCCGGGCACTGCCGGACTACCGCCATACGACGATTCCTCCTCCTCCTCCTCCTACTTAGACGCACCAGACCACGAAGCCAGCGACATTGGCTCTCTCCGCGTCGCTCCTCCTCCTCCCCTTGCTCCCAAATCTACGATCGGATCTTACTACTGTGTCCTACTCCCACCCTCCAACTGCTGCTACTTCGACGATAACGAAAAAGACCACTTCATCACGTGACATGTGACAGCTCCCAGTCTTTCAATCCAGGTGCCATCACGAACGATGGTCTGCCTCACCCCTTGTATGCACAAATTCGAAACTTGTGGCAGTGGCAGAAAACTTTCATGCGATCCAGACAAGTACTGTCTCTTGGCCTCTTGATCTGCGCGAGGCACCTGCCGAATGTGCCATCAGAACCAAGTCAACTGGTCTCCGGCCATGGACACATACGGACACTACGGCACCAAGGCGCCCGCCGCCCTCACGACCACCTCCGCCTCGTCACGGCAACCGAGGCCGTGTAGGGTGTCCTGAATGATGGCTCAAGCTCTAGCGCACGGGAAGATGCATCAGCTTTGTCTTTCTGCTGCAGTCTCCTCGGGCTTCAAGACCACGGTACCAAGCAGAAAGGCCGCATCTTCCATCGGAACTTGGTTGTGACCACACCAGGCCTGACGCAAGGCGGATTTGCCATGCTCGGTAGAGATAGCCAAAATCGATTTGACGAGGCCCTTTGCCCTCAAAATAGGTTTTCAAACCCCGGCAACGTGTTGGGGACTGTCGAGGCTCCCGAAATGCATCAGCTAGGGTTGGGGAAAAAGTCCTTGCTCTATGACTCTATGAGCAGCTATCAGCGCTTGGCAAGTGCCGCTCCCTGCCGCAGGCCTGCATCATCTTCGCCAGTGGCGTAGACAGACGCCTGGCGGCGATCGTGATCTGAACGTGATGAACGGCCCGTACCGCAGCAGCCACTTCGGAAATCTTGCCAGCTTGGCATGTTGAAGCGAAGCTCGTTTAGCCCGTCGGCACCCTCTGCTTCCACCTTCACCGACACCTTTCTCCTAACGACATGGTACTGACACGACAGTCAGCGGCCATTACATCAATGCCACATCACTCTGCTCCAGACGATGTCTGGATATCTGGGCCCGCTGCTGGTCGGAAGGCTCCTGCAAAGCAAAGGGGCGCAAGAGGACAAAGCGATGAAAGCGCTGCCTTGCCTTCGCCTCGGTCTTCCCTACCTCCTCGGACTCCTCGCGAGGCACCTGGGCCTCGGTCTCCTTACTTTCCTCGGCGTCTCGCCTTCCCTCCGCTTCATGAGGTGTCTTGGCCGCAGTCTTCGCCTCTCCTTTCCCCTCCTCCTCTTCGCGAGGCACCTGCGGAATGTGTCAGCAAAAACCCCTGAGACAACTTGGACGGAGGCTCAGGCGCCCGCCGCCCTCACGACCACCTCCGCCTCGTCACGGCAACCGAGGCCGTGTAGGGTGTCCTGAATGATGGCTCAAGCTCTAGCGCACAGGAAGATGCATCAGCTTTGTCTTTCTGCTGCAGTCTCCTCGGGCTTCAAGACCACGGTACCAAGCAGAAAGGCCGCATCTTCCATCGGAACTTGGTTGTGACCACACCAGGCCTGACGCAAGGCGGATTTGCCATGCTCGGTAGAGATAGCCAAAATCGATTTGACGAGGCCCTTTGCCCTCAAAATAGGTTTTCAAACCCCGGCAACGTGTTGGGGACTGTCGAGGCTCCCGAAATGCATCAGCTAGGGTTGGGGAAAAGGTCGCGCGCGCGGATTCCTTCAACTTTTCGCCGATTATTCTTTCAACTACTGCCCGCGGATTCCATCAACCCGAAACCGCGGATTCCTTCAACCCCAAAACCTGATTCATTCAACCTCAGCACGCAGATTCGCTCAACCGTGGCCCCGGGAATGATTCCTTCAACCCAAACAACTGCTTCGTTCAACCCATACACAACCTGATTCTTTCAACCCCAGCACGCAGATTCACTCAACCATGGCCCCGGGAATGATTCCTTCAACCCAAACAAGTGCCTCGCTCAACCCATACACTGACCAAGAGTCGCTCCAACTACAGACAAGCGTGCTACCCCAACCACGAGGACTCACTCAACCACAAACACGCAGATTCTTGTGCCCCGGGTTTGTTTTTCCTACAAAATCAAACTCTGGGGGGAGGGGTTTGTTTTCACTAGAAAAACAAACTCCGAAGGGGGAAGGGGAGTGGAGGCGAGTTTGTTTTTTCCGCAAAAAGAAACAAACACTGGGAGGAGGGGTTGAGTTTGTTTCGCCGGAAGAAAACAAACGTTTGCGGATCATCTTTGGTTGGGTCACGAAGAGCCAGGTTGGGGAGGAGAGGAAAACAAACCAACTTGAAACGATGCGAGAAGCTTGTTTATTTAAGTGACGCTAGGAGGAGTGGTTTGGGCGACCGACGAGTTTGTTTCAGCGGTGAAAAACTAACTCCGATGGGAGCAGTTTGTTTGTTTCAGTGACGCTAGGGCGGCCGCTAGGGGGAGTGGTTTGGGCGGCGCGGGGGTGCAGGGGGGTTTGTTTTTTCCTACAAAAACAAACTCTGGGGGTAGGGTTTTGTGTTTCCTACAGAAAACAAACTCTGGGTGGAAGGGTTTGTTTTTCCTAGGAAAAACACACTCCAAACAAACTCCGGGGGAAGATGAACACACTCGGAAGGTGGAGGTTGTCTTTCCTACAAGGATTAGCCGCACGAAATCTTTTCAGGGAGTTACAAGCGAAGAAAAGAAAGTAAATACTGTATAACCAAAAATTAGTTGAAAACGTTATCTCCTACACGAAGAATTCAGCCACACGAAATCGCTTCCGGTGGCTCGAATCGACGAAAAAGATTCAACATTGTATAGCAGAAAATTACACAAAAACGTCTTTTCCAACACAAACGAGGAGGCCACATAAAATCGCTTTAGGTGGGCTAAAAGCGAAGAAAAAAGTAAATAAACAACACCAATTCATCAATATGAAGGAAGAAGCCGCACACAACCGCCTTAGAAAGGTACAAAGCTTAAAAAAAAATGCGGAGCTTGTCTTTTTTACAAAAGAAGAAAAGCCTCACGAAATCGCTTCAGGAAGTCCAAAGCGAACGTCTTCTCCAACACGATCGAAGAGGTCACACGAAATCGCTTCAGGGGGGTGAAGAGCGAAGAAAAAAAATGAGGTAGAACCGAAAATTAAACCAACACATCTCATCAACATGAAGGAAGAAGCCACACGAAATTGCCCTAGAAAGGTAAAAAGAAAGGAAAAGTGTTGCTCGTCTTCCCTACAAGAAGAAGACGAGCCGCACGAAATCGTTTGGGGGGCGTTGAAAGCGAACGTCTTTTCCAACACGAACGAAGAGGCTACACGAAATCGCTTCAGGGGGGTTAAGAGCGAAGAAGAAAGTAAATGAGGTACAACCGAAAATTAAGCACAACCACTTCACCAGCGTGAAGGAAGAAGCCACACGAAATCCCTTTAGGAAGGTAAAAAGCGAAGAAAAGTGAAGCTTGTCTTTCATGCAAGAAGAAGAAGAGCTGCACGAAATCGCTTCAAGGGGTTAAAAGCGAAGAAAAGAAGGTAAATGCTGTATAGCTAAAAATTAGACAAAAACGTCTTTTCCAACACTATCGAAGAGGCTGCACGAAATCGCTTCACGGGTGTCAAAAGCGAAGAAAAAAGTAAATGAGGTACAACCGAAAATTAAACAAATAGTTTTCATCAACATGAAGGAGCCACACGAAATCGCTTTAGAAAGGTCAAAAGCGAAGAAAACTAAGATGATATAACGCGAAAACGACACAAGTTTCCAACACAGATAAGGAAGCCATACGAATTGCGCATACCCGGGACTCGGAAGGTTTGTTGTTTCTGTGTTTAAACAAGACTACGAAAGTTTGTTTGTCTGTGTTTAAACTAAATACACCCTATAAAAGGTTTGCTTTCCATGTCTAAACTAACTTGCGCCTACCCGGGGCTCCGAAAGTTTGCTTTTCTGTGTCTAAACTAAGTAAACCCTATAAACGGTTTGATTTCCATGTCTAAACTGACTTGCGCCTACCCGGGACTCCGAAAGTCTGTTTTTCTGTGTTTGAAGCAAATACTACGAAAGTTTGTTTTTCTGTGGTTAATCTAAATAAACCCTACAAAAGGTTTGTTTTCCATGTCTACACTAACTGGTGCCTACCCGGGACTCCGAAAATTTTGTTTTCCTGTGTTTAAACTAAATAAACCCTATAAAACGTGTGTTTCCATGTCTAAACTAACTTGCGCCTGCCCGGGACTCCGAAAGTTTGTTTTTCTGTGTTTAAACTAAATAAACCCTATAAAAGGTTTGCTTTCCACGTCTAAACTAACTTGCGCCTACCCGGGACTCCGAAAGTCTGTGCTTAAACTAAAGACTGCAAAAGTTTGTCTTTCTGTTTAAACTAAACAACCCTACAAAAGGTTTGTTTTCCATGTTTAAACTAACTCACGTCTGCCCGATTTGTCAATGCGAGACTGGCAAAAGAGCGGGCGAGATGCTTAGTGTAGTGTTGACGGAAGCGGGGGGGCGGAGTTGACGGAATGAGCAGTTGATGGAAGCGGGCGATGGGGGTTGACAGAATCGGGAGTTGAGGGAAGCGGGCGATGGGGGTTGACAGAATCGGCACTATCTGGGTTGAGGGAAGCGGGGAATAGGGTAGAAGGAAGCGGGGTTGAAAGAATCTTGGTTGACGGAAGCGCGCAACGTTGAGGAAGAAGGCTTCCACCTGGGGCAAAAGTCCTTGCTCTATGAGCAGCAATCAGCGCTTGGCAAGTGCCGCTCCCTGCCGCAGGCCTGCATCATCTTCGCCAGTGGCGTGGACAGACGCCTGGCGGCGATCGTGATCTGAACGTGATGAACGGCCCGTACCGCAGCAGCCACTTCGGAAATCTTGCCAGATTGGCATGTTGAAGCGAAGCTCGTTTAGACCGTCGGCACCCTCTGCTTCCACCTTCACCGACACCTTTCTCCTAACGACATGGTACTGACACGACAGTCAGCGGCCATTACATCAATGCCACATCACTCTGCTCCAGACGATGTCTGGATATCTGGGCCCGCTGCTGGTCGGAAGGCTCCTGCAAAGCAAAGGGGCGCAAGAGGACAAAGCGATGAAAGCGCTGCCTTGCCTTCGCCTCGGTCTTCCCTACCTCCTCGGACTCCTCGCGAGGCACCTGGGCCTCGGTCTCCTTACTTTCCTCGGCGTCTCGCCTTCCCTCCGCTTCATGAGGTGTCTTGGCCGCAGTCTTCGCCTCTCCTTTCCCCTCCTCCTCTTCGCGAGGCACCTGCGGAATGTGTCAGCAAAAACCCCTGAGACAACTTGGACGGAGGCTCAGGCGCCCGCCGCCCTCACGACCACCTCCGCCTCGTCACGGCAACCGAGGCCGTGTAGGGTGTCCTGAATGATGGCTCAAGCTCTAGCGCACGGGAAGATGCATCAGCTTTGTCTTTCTGCTGCAGTCTCCTCGGGCTTCAAGACCACGGTACCAAGCAGAAAGGCCGCATCTTCCATCGGAACTTGGTTGTGACCACACCAGGCCTGACGCAAGGCGGATTTGCCATGCTCGGTAGAGATAGCCAAAATCGATTTGACGAGGCCCTTTGCCCTCAAAATAGGTTTTCAAACCCCGGCAACGTGTTGGGGACTGTCGAGGCTCCCGAAATGCATCAGCTAGGGTTGGGGAAAAAGTCCTTGCTCTATGACTCTATGAGCAGCAATCAGCGCTTGGCAAGTGCCGCTCCCTGCCGCAGGCCTGCATCATCTTCGCCAGTGGCGTAGACAGACGCCTGGCGGCGATCGTGATCTGAACGTGATGAACGGCCCGTACCACAGCAGCCACTTCGGAAATCTTGCCAGCTTGGCATGTTGAAGCGAAGCTCGTTTAGACCGTCGGCACCCTCTGCTTCCACCTTCACCGACACCTTTCTCCTAACGACACGGTACTGACACGACAGTCAGCGGCCACTACATCAATGCCACATCACTCTGCTCCAGACGATGTCTGGATATCTGGGCCCGCTGCTGGTCGGAAGGCTCCTGCAAAGCAAAGGGGCGCAAGAGGACAAAGCGATGAAAGCGCTGCCTTGCCTTCGCCTCGGTCTTCCCTACCTCCTCGGACTCCTCGCGAGGCACCTGGGCCTCGGTCTCCTTACTTTCCTCGGCGTCTCGCCTTCCCTCCGCTTCATGAGGTGTCTTGGCCGCAGTCTTCGCCTCTCCTTTCCCCTCCTCCTCTTCGCGAGGCACCTGCGGAATGTGTCAGCAAAAACCCCTGAGACAACTTGGACGGAGGCTCAGGCGCCCGCCGCCCTCACGACCACCTCCGCCTCGTCACGGCAACCGAGGCCGTGTAGGGTGTCCTGAATGATGGCTCAAGCTCTAGCGCACAGGAAGATGCATCAGCTTTGTCTTTCTGCTGCAGTCTCCTCGGGCTTCAAGACCACGGTACCAAGCAGAAAGGCCGCATCTTCCATCGGAACTTGGTTGTGACCACACCAGGCCTGACGCAAGGCGGATTTGCCATGCTCGGTAGAGATAGCCAAAATCGATTTGACGAGGCCCTTTGCCCTCAAAATAGGTTTTCAAACCCCGGCAACGTGTTGGGGACTGTCGAGGCTCCCGAAATGCATCAGCTAGGGTTGGGGAAAAAAGTCCTTGCTCTATGACTCTATGAGCAGCAATCAGCGCTTGGCAAGTGCCGCTCCCTGCCGCAGGCCTGCATCATCTTCGCCAGTGGCGTAGACAGACGCCTGGCGGCGATCGTGATCTGAACGTGATGAACGGCCCGTACCACAGCAGCCACTTCGGAAATCTTGCCAGCTTGGCATGTTGAAGCGAAGCTCGTTTAGCCCGTCGGCACCCTCTGCTTCCACCTTCACCGACACCTTTCTCCTAACGACATGGTACTGACACGACAGTCAGCGGCCACTACATCAATGCCACATCACTCTGCTCCAGACGATGTCTGGATATCTGGGCCCGCTGCTGGTCGGAAGGCTCCTGCAAAGCAAAGGGGCGCAAGAGGACAAAGCGATGAAAGCGCTGCCTTGCCTTCGCCTCGGTCTTCCCTACCTCCTCGGACTCCTCGCGAGGCACCTGGGCCTCGGTCTCCTTACTTTCCTCGGCGTCTCGCCTTCCCTCCGCTTCATGAGGTGTCTTGGCCGCAGTCTTCGCCTCTCCTTTCCCCTCCTCCTCTTCGCGAGGCACCTGCGGAATGTGTCAGCAAAAGGGAGCAGGTTGCTGTGGGGCCTGGGTTTTTGCAGACCCACCTTTTGTATCATATTTACATTCTGACAACTTCAAGCACTTAAAGGGTACACGCAGCATTACAACACAAAGACCCGTCTTCTATTCCTGGGTTTAATGCATTCAAGGTCAGGTTTAGCCTGTGTACATGTAGTATTGTATAGTCAGACGTCAACGGGTTCGACAGCGCGGCATTGACTGGCTACGTATTGAAAGTTTTGCCCACAACAACTATCACAGGCAAGAAACACCGTAAATACCGTGTATTCTGTACTTCATCAAATCAAGTCTTGGGATAAGCCACATAGACTCGACATGTTGGACACGGAGCTGCATGAACCAACGCATCATCTGCTTTGGCATGCAGTGTTCGGTTGTTGGAGAACCGGTACGTATTGAATTGGTGTACTTATTCGGCAAAGTGCACAGGAATCGAAATAAGTGTTTAGGTCAGTGCTTGAAATGTGTTTTTGCATGTCAACAAATATGAGTGAGTTCAATGTCTGCATTAGCATGTGTGACTGTCAGGGAGCCAAGGAATGATGAAAAGCTGCCCGTGGTTGACAAGTCTGGCACTTGTCGAAGATGACTCGAATCCTGTTTGCGCATGTTCATGTCCTGCTGACTGCTATAGGTACCTTCGCTTTGGGTATCCACAGTCTACAATCCAAAATAGCGAGCATCTGGATCAGTATGAATTCTGAATCCGGACATCTGGTTTTATGGGGCCGCTGCCGCTGAAGCCTCGCTCGGGGAATGAAAAAGTTCTACTGTGGTCCAGGCCGTTGCATGATCTTGCATGGCCTCCAAATCCACAAGTATCTGTGTCAGAAATTTTCTGGTTTGATATACAATCAACCCTTCATATCCCTCTGGTCCTCTAAGGTTATAAAGGTGGCAAAGATTGGACCTCTGAGCTATGTAGCAACAGCACTTGTGTTTACACGTGAAGACATGCATACATATATATGCACAATATTCCACACAAGCAAACCCTGTGTTTATGGACAACTCTTTTGTTTATAAACAAGGCCAAGTGTTTATAAACAACCTACCACAAAACATTGTGTTTCCCATACGCAGAAACCCCGTAAATACCAGTGATCTCATAGTTTTCTCAATCAAACAGGGTCTTGGTCTCAGCCACACGAGCCGATACGTGGAAAAAGTCCAGTTAACGTATCAGTGTGTCAATGTGCAAGATTTGCGGTGAGTTGAGGTTTGTGAACTTGTTGGTTGGAGTCTGTGATGCTGGGGTGAGGGGGAGGGGGGGAGGGGGGGGTTTGGAACATCAAGCCAAGACTTCTGCCCGCCCCCCTCCCCCCCCTCCCCTCGACCGCTTCCGCCACATCACGACATATAACGATGAATACGAGCAAACGCAAAACCAGCAACACGTAGACAAGAAGACAAAAGTTAACTATCATATAATATAATGTACATGTAAAAGACAACGAGCAAATGCAACAAATTCTTAACGCTGAAAGCACGGTATACCGAAACGCGCTGTTTAAAAAACAAACCCTGTGTTTATAAACAGACCGCCGCGTTTGAAACTATTCAGGCAGGATCAAGGCGATCTTTTTGCTGCCAGCTTTCTGCAAGGAGTCGGTCACGAGGCACCTTCGGTGCACCAAAAACCAAAGACCTCAACGAGCTGACTCTGGAAACCACAGCGACAAGCTGGGTCTCCAGAAGTCAGGCTCTCCAGACCACAACTTCCAAGCAAGAGCCACGAAGGAAAGCCACAAAACCCACTTATTCCCTGCTAGTGCAAGCGCTCCTGCGGTCTGCGAAAAGGTAGTACCAAGCCTGCGGCGGTATTCGGCTCTCTGTGAAGAAGGCTGCTCGCTCCAGAAGGTAGGAGAAGGAGGCGCAAGCTGTGTGAAGAGCTACTTGGCGATCGCGAGGCAGAGAGGGTATGTAGGTGGTTGCTTCTACTTCTTGTAAGTAGATCTCCATCACACGCACTGATAACCACCTGCCCCTTCGCCTCACCAAATCTGGGTTCTCAGTAGCTTGCAGCATCCAAGTCGCCCCTCCTGGGCGGAAAGAAGCCAGGTCAAAGTGAGCGACTCCGTCACTGGAGACCAGCCCAAATCTAGCCTGAAGCTGCTTGAAGCTTCGGCGCAGCGTACCAGCTGAGAAAGGCCACAGCAAAGAGCTTCCAGGGAGCTGTCCAAAGGCGACGTCCAGCAGCTTAATGATGTCTGGGGGATCGATGTGTGCCGCTTGGTGCTTTGCCGAGCGGCCTCAGGTCTTCGGGCAAGAGATCTGCAGGAGGGCATACTCCGTGCCAGGCGCGGCGTCACGAGGCAGCACGAGGTCGCGCCTGCGAGCGCCCAGAGCTTCACCTATCCGCAGCAGCCCCGACCAGCTCAAGGCAAAGATGGCTGCCTCTCGGATCCATCCCCACATGATGGCAGCTGCTACAATAGCCAAGAGGGCCCCCTTTGGGAGGGCCTTGTGATGGGCGTGAGGCTCCTCGGAGAGCCAGGCAAAAGCTAAGTCCCACGCAGCTCCCAGGTGTCGACGGATGCTAGGTCGTGCCGCTGCGATGGCATTTATCGTCTCAGAGTAGCGGTAGTAGGCCGCACCAGACCTGAAGAGAGCACGGCCGTAAGCGACCAAGGTGTTGGCGACCTCCTCAGTTTTGTCAAGCGACCAGCTGAGCATCTGCACGACAGAAGCCAGTTTAGCCTGGGCGAGCCAGGCATCAAAGTCCTCCAAGAGCTTGGCTCGGTTAGCCCGTGTCACAGGTTTTACAACACGGTCAGCGAACAGCTGTAGTGGTGCTCTGGCTTCGGCTCGTCTATGATCAGCTGGGGTCTTCGGCGCGGGCGGCTCCATGGCTGCGGCGCTAGGAAGCAACACGAAACCCAGAACCCGGAGAACCCTGAACGAAAGCCAGCTAACGGGGGGACGTTGGGTAACAGAGGCGAAAGAAGAGGCCCAAGTCAGGGCGAGAGCAAAACTCAGTGGAGCAAGCTTGGTGTACACTAAGTCAAGGCAGAGGCGGTGCAAAGGTGTAGAGGCTCGAGCCCACATGAGGGCGAGCTGCAAACAGGAGAAAAGCCGAGTGACGTAGGACTTGCCATGGTGGGCGGTCGCACAGGGCTGAGAAAAGAAAGAGGATCCGATGGCAGAGCCAGGAGAAAATCCAGGTCCTTCACCAGGGTAGCCGAGGGTGGAGTCGAAGTCACGCAAGCAGCCGCCAGAGTCGAGAGGCTCGGCAGGTCCACCAAGGGCAGAGAGGATCACGTGAGGGACCGGCCCGTAGGAGATGAGGACCAGAAGGAAAAGGCGGCACCAGGAAGCAACAGGACGAGTGAAGCGGCGGGCCCCAAGTCCGTGAGTAGCCCAAACAGGGAGGTTTCCACACAGAGACACCTCAGAAGATGCACGCAGGGCAGAGTGCCTAGTTGGGTCGTCCGCTATGTTCAACCGAGTGGGGGCGAAGCCCAAGGAGGTGTAGAGCCCATAGGCAAGCTGGATAGCGCAGGCACGGGCCAACCCAGGCGTCAAGGCAAAGGAAGTGGACCGGCCCTTAGCTGCCGCTGCTTTTGCAACTGCTGAGTCAAGCAGGATGCTCAGCCTCGTGTCGGGGGCCTCAAGGGCGAGCTCGCGCAAGAGGACAACGAGCGAGGAGAGCTCCAGAACATTGATGTGATGAGCCCCCTTCCATCTGAGCACACGGCGCACCCTCCAGTCCTGGGTCATCAGCAAGTCGTTTGAGACGACGCTCTCAATGGCAGGGCGAGGTCTCTCGCGAGGGTTTGCACTAGCCAGACCCGCTTCAAGCGCACGAGCGGCGGCCTCAGCAAAACCCTTCGGTAAAGTGGAGGGCCAGCTGGTGCTCGGCAGTTGAGCCCCAGGGGCGTCACAGCAGCAGGCTCTGGCGAGAGGACTGATGGGAAGACCCGAGCTCAAGGTGAGGAGGCGTCTGCCAGGACACCCTCCAAAGCTGCACAAGCAAGCAGTATGCGAAATGTTGCCCGGCTTTGCTGCGGCAGCCCTCCATGGGTGCCAACTTCGAAGGGCAGAGGTGGCAGGTGCAACAATCAGGGTAGGGCGGCCGAAACGCTTTGCGAACCCGTAGAAGATGAGGCAGCGAGAGGCAGCAGTCCAAGCTCGGTGCCGTCTTGTTGTACCACGGCCCCGCTGTGGCACGCAATGAGACAGTGAGCCCCGAGGCGAATCGCGAATGCAGCACAAGAGAGCGGACCTTTCCCTCTTTGAGCACAGCGTAGAGCCACGTGGCAAAATAGGGGTCCTCGGTGGCATAGTGCTCAGAGACGGCTGGGTGGATGGGCGGTCCTACCCGCAGGCCAAGTCGAGACGCCTCAACAGAGACCGGTCCACTCGGGTCCCCAATCTCAAGCAGGTCCAGCACAAAGGGGAGCGAGGCTGGAACAGCCTCAAAACCAGGAGACGGGCCGACTGCCTCCTCACTAGTTTCCTCACCAAGCGCTCTAAGGATGGCGGTAGCCCCAACCGAAAGCCGACTATAGGCCCCTTTCCTATCCCCGTTTAGCCAAATGCTATGGGCGAGCTCAGGATCTACCGGAGCCTCGCAGAAGGCACCCAAAGCGAGGGAAGCGTCCGTCGCAAAGATCTTGTTGTGCTGATGCACAGCAATGTTGGCCGCACAGAGAGGCAGGAGAGCAGAGGCTAGACAGAGCTCCTGGGCGATCGCGCGAGGCTGGGCAACAGGCCGCTGGGCTGTGCCGCATTCTGGGCTCCGGGACTCGGACATCCTTGGCAGGGGAGCCTTCAACCTGGTGGAGCTCGTAGGCTTTGGCGGCCGTCTCGTGTAAGGCTCTCGCCTCTGAAGGCCCGCCCGGCTGGGCACCAGCAGGAAGCGCGCTCAAGTTCACGAGATCATCTATCACGAGCGCTTGCCAAGTCGATCCTAGCGGTAAGGCCGAAGATCCTTGCATCCGCATGGATGGCCGCAGGGCCCCGCAAGACAAGAGCAATTGCGAGTGTCCTTCCAGCGCAAACTCAACGCCGAGATGATCGCCTTGCAGAAGCGACTTGAATGCTGGTACGTAGGTCGCCGAGGTTAGGAGGCCCGGAGGCGGGCTCCTCTGCGACCCACGCGAGGCAATGGCAAAAGCAGCGGCTGAGTCAGCGAAAACGGCTCCAGCGTACTCGAAAGGAAGTCGGTTCGTGTCAGCACGTGCCTCGGTAACAGACACCTGATGATAAAAATCCCGTCTGTCCGACACGTATGCAATGAGCTGTTGCCGCCGCCGCTCTAGGCGGAACGAGGTCAAGAGGCTTCCTTGGGGGAGGAGCTTGGAGGGCCCCTCAAGGTGAAGCTCGGCACGGTTGCTCGGCCGTCGATCGCCTATCTGGCGATCGGCCTCGATCGATTTGTAGCTGTTAAAGATGCGACAGCTACGCTGGTAGGCTGCTTCAAGTTGCAATGGTTGGGCAAGGTGCAGCAAACCCTTGGCGTCCCACAACAACGCCAACTTGAGGTGCTCTTCGGCACTCTCTTTTGCGAAGTCGGGGAGGTCGTCGGTCCCCAACGGGAGACCATGACGAAGGATGCCCGGCTCCTGGAACGGAAGCCAGAGCGGTCCTTCGAGGAACGGAGCTATCAACCAATGGCCTGAGCCGTGCAGCCGAATCCTTGAAACGTCCAAGGAGCGATAGGGCTGAAGTTGTGGGAGCTCGGCCGTCAGCGGCACGCTCGGGACAGCACCAAAAGAGGAGAGGAGGTCCGAGGAGCCACTCGAGCCCACATGTGCAAAGGCACCGGCAAAGGATTCAAGCTCAAGAAGGCGGGCGACGAGGTCCGGCCCGGAACGACCCGGCGGGAGTGGGAACTCCTCCTTCCGGGAAAAACACGCAACTACAAAGGAGCGAATGCGCCTGAAACACGCCACTTGAGACGCATTCGGCTCCCTCCAGAACAGGTGCTTCGGGGCCCAGCGGCCACAATCATGCAAAAAGTTGAGGGCGGCCACAACAATGTGCACGGTGCGACGCAGAATCAAATGCTGCTTCTGGGCTCGGGGCAAGTCTGGGGACGCTCGGCCGAAGACACCAAGGTGGGGCCAAGGCAAAGGAAAAGTTGCGGTGGCTGGGGCATTGCCGCAGCGGCTGGCAGGATGTACGAACGACATAGCCAAGTATGCCGAAAAGGGCGTGTGAGCCCGGAGCAGCCACCTCGGTAAGGCGGAAGCCCAGGCTCCAAAAGTGATCGTGGTGCCGAAGGATTTTGCCGCTTCATCACGAAGGGCGGCTGACGTGTCGTGGTGCTCTTTTCCGTGCTTTCCCAAAGGCTGGTGGGCATCTGAGACCGGAGCGGCCGAATTGGCCCTTCCGTACCCAGAATCAACAATTTCGCCTGCGGCCGAATTGGCCCTTCTGTACCCAGAGTCAACAATTCTGCCCAGCTCATTGGATGGCCCTATGCTGGGTGAACCTGAGGGAGCGGGGTGAAGTGATGGGCCCCCTCTGCTGAAAAGCCTCATTGGGCAGCGTTCTGCTTCTTTCGGGGGCCTCCGCCTCGGTGGGGCATCTGCTGCCTCCGCTGCCTGCTCGGTGGCCGGCTGTGGGCGACTGGGTCGCGTCTGCTCGGAGCGCCTTGCCTGTATCGTGTCCAGCTCTCGGAGATGCGTGAGAATCACTGACACCCACTTCTGAGACGCTAAGGGGGCAAAAGCTCGCGCCCGAGAGGATGGGCCGGCACGCGCCATGAACATCGAGGATGGCGGTTCCTCCAGGAAAGTTGGCTGATATGCCACTTCCATCCTTCCCCCGTCCAATGCTGCTTGTTCCAAGCACACGGCGAGGAGCGCGAGGTGGTCTTTCGCTAGCTCGGCCCGATCGTTCATCAGGGCGTCGTAGATTAGACCAACGTGGTAGGCGAGGAGGCCCAGATCCCGGGAGCCCCCCCATCCTCCGAAACGCTCCCAGTAGCGGCTCATGCTCACTCCTTGGGCCAGCAACGCAGCTGGGGCTGTGCCAGGAAGCTGGGACGGCATCATCCGTCGGGCAAGGTTTGCCGTCACTTGTTGGAAGAAGATGCCCTTTCCCATGGCCAGTTCCTCCTGGAGTTTGGCACGTTGGGCCGAGCCACGCACGCCCAGGGCACCAACGACGCCTGACTCGAGCGAACCATCCCCGCCTGCCGCCGCAAGCTGCTGCACTAACGAGGTCAGGGCTTGCGACTGGGCAAGCATGGCACGGGCCAAAGGGTCGCCTGAGGCCCCTTCGCGGAGGACCTCTTCCACATCTGCTGCCTCCTCGGCGTTCGTAATCAGTGGGTCGGGGGCGGATAGGCGTACCTGGGGCGGCGGACCCATCACAGAAGCCAGGGCGCCCGCTGCCTTTGATGTGGCTCCCAGCCCGGAGGATTGTGCAAGACTCAGAGGTTGCTTCAGTGGGGCAGCGGCCCCGGCAGTCACCAGGGAGGACAGCTCGTGCTGCTTCTGGTCCATCTCGGCAAGCTTGCTGGAGATGGCAGGCAGAGTGGCGCAGAGGGTGTCCAATTGTGCCGCCAGGCCAGCCATCGTTGGTCGCTTCGGCTTGTCTGCGGGCAGCTCGTGTGGTGGCTCGTCGCTTCCAGTGGCGGGCCGCTGCTGAGCTTGAGCTGCCTTTGGCCGAGAGAGGTGAAGCACCGGCCGGCCCCTCTTTTGTGCAGCGGTGGGCACCAGTGCCGGAGCTTCGTCGGCTGAGTAGAAGGTCACACGCTCGAGGGCTGCCACATCGGGATCTGCAATCCAAGCCTGGGCTGCAGCAAGGGTGGCCTCTGGATCTGGCACCAGGTCGGGCGCCCCCACATCGAAAGCCACAAGCAACTCTGGTGAGTCGGCAAGCTCGTAGGGGCTGAGGCGGCCTAAGGCTTCCACCGACAGGTCCACGAGGGTGATTTGCACTGACCGGCCGCCTGACGGAGCAAGGCCGGAACTGACAGCAAGGATCCTGGCACCTCGAGCACATGTGCGGGCCCCACAACGGCATCCATTGAAGCAGCAAGGCCCTGGGCCACTTCGGAGTCGTCCAGAATTCCACTGGGAAGGGCTAGGAGGAAACCCAGGTCTCGCTTGAGCACAGCCACTGCTAGACACTCGATGGCCCCATCCCCATCGAAAGCCGGGTGCTCGTACACCAGCACCTGGCGCGACACATGGTAGGGGGTGAGCCCCTCTAGGCTGAAGTGAGAGGCCATAGCAGGCCAGCAGCGCAAGTATAAGCCTTTGCTTCCAGCTCCGAGGGGAAGCCGTGCGACACCGCAGTGGACTCCGGGAACGGGCCCACAGCTCGGGAGTAATCTCTGAAGTTGCGGTAGAGGCCAGGAGCGTGCCCCCCGCCTCCGAGCACAACGTAGAACCTCGAGGGCAGACTAAGTTGGGCAGAGGAGGCAGGAGTGCCCACGGTGCCCTCCAGCACCAGCTTTGCCCAAGCACCGGCTCCGGCGGATTCGATCCTCGCCGGATAGGGTGCCCGCAGCGGTCAAGGCAGCACCCTTTGCAACCCAATCCTGAGGGCAGGCAGGGAGCGACGACTCAAGAGAAGACCTAGAAGGCGAAGCCTTAGGTCTGGGCCCGGAGCCCTGCAAGTGGTCCTGAGCAGCAGGGCCTGGTGACGCGAGTGGCAGGTCTGGGTGGCAGTAAGAGGCCGCCGGCAAGCTGCGACCCGAAGGTGTTGGGCTGGCGACGGGCGCCGCACGGGTGCTTTGATCCGAGGATCCTCGACGCACAGGAAGCTGGGGACTGAACCCAAAGGGCCCGGAGGCCTGCAAGGGGTTAGGGCTGCGGCAAGGAGTCCTAGGGTTAGGGCCTAAACCACTAGGGCTAAGAGGACTTGCGGGGTAATGGAAGGATCGGAGGTGTTCGGCCAGGGAGAGGGCAGAGTCCAACGGACCCTCAATGGCCACAGAGCAGCCGCCGATATGGACAACCAGTGAAGTGCGGCTCTCAGCTCCGCTTTGCATGCGCGTAGCCTTGCAGGCGGGCGCGGGCTGGGGAGAGGAGAGGTTGGGAAGGAGGTCCACGCCCCAGAAGTCCAAAGTGAAAGCAGAGGTAGGCTGCTAGGCCAAGTCCAGACAGTAGGCCAATCACGAAAGTCAGAAGGAGAAGGGCAACGGAGGGTTGGGTGCAATACAGGGGACAGCCAAGACCCCAAAAGTTCGAAGAGACCGCACCCTGAACCAGCCGGAGCCCCGACACGAAATCCATCAGCTTGAACCACGAGCAGCCAGTCGCATTTCCCAGCCTATGTGTTCAGAGCTGATGTTGTAGTTGGAAACAAAAACATGCACGCATGCGCACCAAACGAGCGACCAACTGGCACAGAAACCCACGCACAACCATCCGAAACACACAAAATCACAAAAAAAAAAAAAAAAGTGGGTTGCCAAAACGCAGGCCCCACAGCCTCCTCTTCTGCAGCAAAAACCCCTGAGACAACTTGGACGGAGGCTCAGGCGCCCGCCGCCCTCACGACCACCTCCTCCTCGTCACGGCAACCGAGGCCGTGAAGGGTGTCCTGAATGATGGCTCAAGCTCTAGCGCACAGGAAGATGCATCAGCTTTGTCTTTCTGCTAGTCTCCTCGGGCTTCAAGACCACGGCACCAAGCAGAAAGGCCGCATCTTCCATCGGAACTTGGTTGTGATCACACCAGGCCTGCCATGACGAACGCAGGGCTGACGATCCATTAAGAGAGCTTCAGAAGATCAGCTGCAGCCTTGTAAGGTGCATGCACTTGGAAGCTCTGTCCACCGTACACGCTGGGAGCAAGGGGTTCGCTGCGCCCCAAAGACAGGCAGGGGTTCCGTACGGAAGCCATCGACGTGCCGCTCCCTGGAGCGAGGCCTGCATCATCTTCGCCAGCGGCGTAGACAAACGCCTGGCAGCGGTCACAAAAACTGGTCACAGATTGACCTGTAATGCACCTACAGCACTGCGGCAGCTACTTCGGAAATCTTGCCAGCTTGGCATGTTGAAGCGAAGCTCGTTTAGACCGTCGGCACCCTCGGCCTCCACCTTCACCGACACCTTTTGCCTTGAAGCATGGAATACTCTTCACGGCAGACAACACAATCAGATCTCTGAGCCCGCTGCTGGTCCGAAGGCTCCTCCAAAGCAAACGGGCCAAGGGCGAGGCACGGCGAGAGGATCAAAGCGCAGCCTTGCCTTCGCCTCGGTCTTCCCTGCCTCCTTGGCTTCGACCCTGGCCTTCGCCTCGCTGGGGACCTCGGCTCCATTCAGAAGCCTCTCTCTATCTCCACATAAGACTCCGAGCTGCGAGCGGCCCTGAAAACCACCTCCCCAGACACGCAGCCCAAGGACTGCAAGGTGTCCTCCAGTGAAGCCACCCGTGAGCCCCTAACCTGGTTAAAGCATTCCCAAGCGCCTCTGGCATCAATACCCGCTGCTGGAACATGAACGTGGCTTTCTCGAGAGGAAGTCCGTGATGTCCACACCACGCCTTCGCTGGTTGTGGTGAGCTTGTGGAACGTGTAGGGCATGCCCTGCCTTCATCATCTTCCCCAAAGGCGCAGACAAACGCCTCTTCGGCTTTGGTATCCGTTGGACTATCACTGCCTTTCTCCTGCATCTGCACTGAACTGAGAAAAGCGAGCCAGGCAGGCATGTTGAACTTGACCTCGTTCACTCCATTTGGGCTGTCCGCTTCGACTTTGACGGACATGCTGCGGTTCCTTGGTCGAGAGCTTCCGAACGCCTGCCTAGCGGAGACTGAGACGCCCTCCTCGGGTTTCCTATCGCTCAGAGAAGGCTCGGATCGACAGGGGTCTCCTCGGCTCAGAGCTTTCAGCACATGGAGAACCCGGGCTCTGAGTTCTGAGCCAAGCTGCTGCCGCATCAGCCTCATGGGCCCAGGCCCGCACCATGATCACCTGGCTCCGACAGGTTTAGCAAGGTCAAAGCATTTTCAGGAAGTCGAGGCCGGCACTCCCATGCCCTTTAGCCAGCCCCGGACAGCTGGCGTCTCATCGGCCGAGAGATCTCCCGCGCGCAGCCCTTCTCCCTCCATGAGCTGAAACCTGACATTCTGTGCCGGTTCCAGTTTGCGCTGCTCACGCCAGGCTTTCATCATCCTCTCGAAGGTTGTGGTTGGTCGCATCCAGAACTCGAAGCACTCCACCTCGTCATAAACCTTAAGCAACGCACGGCCGCCCGGTCGATCCGACTCCACCGGCTTCGCAGCTGGCTTCACTGACGGCTGTGGCTGCGGTGGCTGCGGTGGCTGCAGCTGCTGCGGTGGCTGCGGTGGCTGCCGCTGCTGCTCCATGACCTGCATCACCCGCGGGTCGCTCACGTGCAATGCTTCCAGGATTACCTCTGTATTCGGCGACCAACCATGCGTCGCAGGGGTGTCACCGGCCTGCAATGGCTTTCCATTGTAGGACACGAAAATGGAGTCTGCTGTCAAGTTGTGATGTCTGCACCACGCCGCTATCACTTTGCCGATGGGAGCAAGCATCTTCGTCCAGAAGCTCAAACCGGCTTGCTCTGAAGACGGCTTCAGCCGCTCGCTCAAGATACCATGCGCTGCGATTCGGACTTGCACACGCGGCGCAGCAGATTTACTTGCAGATGACTGCTTGGATGTGGAGTCCTCAGCTGGGACTGCGCTCTGCTGCGGCTTCGTCGATGCCGATGGTAGGTAGAGATCAGGTAGCTGCAGAGATTGTGCTTTCGCAGGTCGATCACTTCTCGGATCAGCCCGGATCTCAAAGATCTCGGCTCTCGGTAGATCTTCCTCCGGCGCCAAGCTCCTCAGCGTATCTGCTGCCGTGATTTCACCAGGGCATGCTTCTGCCTTGAAGGAAACATCCGCCAAGGAGAGACCTTGCCTGCTGCACCAATCCACCATCAAGCCACGCAGGGACATGTCTGGCTGCACGCAGAAGGTCAAGGAGCTTGAGGCATTCTCACGGTCGTCCCGCCATGCCGTGATGCGCACGCGTTGTGCACCATCGGGTGGAGCAGTCGGCTCACACTGCTGCTTCGCAGCCGCCTCCCAACGATCAACCTCCTCTGAAGCTGCACCTTCCTTTAACACAACCACCATTTCTGTCGGACCAGAATCTGGTCCAGATACGTACATATCAGGAGTCTGATCCAGTGGCACGTCGCGACCCTCTGAATCTCGTAGGCATAGCCCACTTGCTAGGAGACGATGGTCTTCGGCCCAAGCAAAGACCAACTTCTGCCATGGTGCCGACTTCTGCAACCAATAACAATGCCGCCAGAATCGACCATCTCTTTCCGGCCCCAGCGCTTGGGACTCCCATCCCTGTGGCAGCAGCTGGACCTGATGGTGATGCACAGGTGCACGCACGCCTTCGACGGAAAGCTGAGGGCGTGTCCAGCGTGGCACCGTCAACGAGCATTGGGGTCTGTCTTTGACAGGCCGCCAACGCCATGGGAGCACACCTCCATCCACCGGAACGAACAGCAAACAACAGCGCATGATCTTCTGCGATTTCCGAAACTCGAGATGCACAAGGCTTACTCAACCTTAACATGGAGGTTTGGAGCTCAAGGCTGAAACTCGTTTTGCTCCGATCCCCACCATCTCCCGCAACACCGGCAATCCCGAACACGCCGGCAGCAACTGAAAGGCAAGATGCCCAACCTCTCGAGAAGATCTCGAAACATCTTGCAACAAGCGACGAAGTGAGCAAACAAGCAGGCTCTGACTAGAACCACTGCGAGTGGTCGCGGCTTCACTTGCAGAAGCAATGCTGCCAGGTGTGTTGCTGTTTTGGCCAAGTCTTGTCCTGCGAGGAAAGCATGGGTCTAGCAAGACAACCTGGATGGCCGCAACCGCGGATGTTAACGTGTATATAACCGGAAGTCTTGACTGAGGATAACTTTCAACAAAACATACCACCGACAGCACGTTCACCACATCGCGACCGCGATGCCCTGTGCGTCCAGCTTGCTAGCTAACCTCATGTGACGAGCTAACATAAAAGCACAGCTTCAAATTTGAGAATGTAGGCAACAAATCGCTTTTGCCACACCGTCACATTTAAGCAAAATGCAAAATGTTGACGATGGTCGCGAGTTCCGGATGGAGTGTACCGTGAGTGATGCACATAACAGTTCAATCCGCCAAGTCCCAGAAGCTACAACAACCACAGCTGGCCTCACAAGTGCACGTGAAAACGCTCCGCACACATCGCACACTTATCCATACAAACTAACGATTAGACTCCGAGTATGATTAAGAGCCGCCTCGCCGCCTGAACAAACGCAACCTTTGCTCTGGGATAAATGATTCTCAAGTATTCTTACATGCCGGCCTTCAGATAACACGACTTATTTCGGGTCATGGCTCATGGTCGCTAAACACACGCTTCAGAATACTTCGCACCATCAACCATGAAACGTGCTTCGAATGTGCTTCGAGCCAGATGCCGCGACATACACACGTGGTCAGTTTGGTCTCGAACCTGCGCCTCAAACAGGTACTGCAGTGAGCTATGACAGCATAGCCGACGCAGCAGTCCCTTCTGCACGATCACCAAGAATGCGTAAACAGTTTCGGTTCCAAGTTGCCCACATCTCGATGCCGACGTAAGTAATGATCATCCAGGAACTTGTTGTTTCTCACGCACCTTTTTCCTTGCCGCCATGTGACGGCTACGACCGAAGCTCCTACGACTACGGCCGGAGTGGTAGGAGGCTCGCCACGCGGCTTCGGGGTAGGCAGTTCGCTTGCGACGCTCGGCGATGCACCAGCACGGCGCCATCAACTGATTCTGCACATGGTTGCGGGTCCCGAGACCGGATCAGCGGACACCAAAGTTGCATCGCAACAAGGCGCGCCGCCGTTTGTTGTGGCGCCATACACCTTCCCTGGCCACTCGCAATTGTGCCCGCTCGACCACTTTGGCCCGGCTTGCTGACAGTTTGCACGAGCATGGTCCCCGGGCTTGTCGAGCGCCGCATTGCTGCAGGCAAAGGTAAAGGCGCCCGCAAATGCCTAAAATTGGGGGGGCGAGGCTGCTGCAGGCTCGCAATGAGTCCAAGTCCGCGCCGTGTCCGCGACACGTTGGACACGACTGTAGAGTCGGTACAGCACAACTGCGGCGTGACTTCCGATTTGGGCGAAACCCGCGTCATCACTGCTGCGGTCGATCCGCTGCCACCAGGCATCGCTGAGCTGGCCGACGATGTGTGGCGCAGCGACACAAGCCACCGTCTGAACGAGGGATCGTTGTTCTGAGCTCGCCCATCGGCCACCTCGAATTCACAAGCGTCTGGGCCGAGGTACGACTGCACACCGATCGTCACATGCCCGTTCTGCCGTGTGCGTAGCTGGTGCTGCACATGTGCGCAGCACCACGGGCCAACCACGGTATGCGGGGGCATGGGAACTCGGCCCAACAGCACGCAAACGCGATGTTGTGAATCCACGCTGTGTGGAATTGCCATGCAGGGTGTCCCGGAGCCTGCATCCGTTGGGCGTGCTGGGCGCTCGCACCCCTCACCAAGCACTCTTTTTTTCCGCACCTTTTTGCGTCTGAATCGATTGGTTCGCACAGGTCTACAGCACCCTACTGCGCCGGCAAACGGCCAACGGCTGCTGGTCGGCGGGAGGCTGCCTCGCACATCCGCTAGGATTTCGTGCAGCTCAGGCATGTCACCCGCGACGCAAGCTTCACCAGCGGACGGGAGCTCAAGCAGGGAAGCCGTGTAGGCGCGCATCGCAGCAACGGCAAGCATGCCGGACCACCTCTGCACCCAGCCTGCACGTGCCGCGGCTCGCAGCGAGGCAGTGATGCCGGCGGCGCGGTGCGGCGCCAAAAGGCGCAGGAAGGAGGCTGTTTCAGTGCTGAAGCACCCACCAACCTCGCTCCCGATGACGACGAGCCGCGCTCGTCCGGCGCCCCGGAGCTCGGGGTATGTTTGGTGCCGCTGTCTGGCTGCATCCTGCACGGTGGTTGCGGGGCGGGTGTCCGCACCAAGCCGAGTGGAGCCGGTGCGAATGACCGGGCTGACCATCGTGGCGTCGATGGCGAGTTGGGCGCCATGGCATACCGGTAAACCGTTGGCGACCACCTCAATTCGACGTGCAGCACTGACGGGCACATCGGTGTTCATGTCGGCAACTCCACCGGAAGAGCCCGGGATGCAAGGAAGCTGGACGTGGCATGCAAAGTCCGCCAGATGGCCTCGTCATGCGCGCACGCATAGGCCACAGACAGCGACCGGGGGCACAGCACTGTGGCGAGCGTTGTGCTGTCCAAGGGCAAAAGCATTGTTTTTTCATTGGCGTTGATCTTGGCTTTATTCGGACTTCTCGGGCTGCTCGGGAACCCAAACCATTCCAATTGCGCTCTTTTGGAGGCCATGGCCCCGCCTGGGATCTCTGCGGCGGTCTGCCTGGGCAGTCGCAACCCACTTCGATGTCCACGTAGCACCTCCAAGCTGCTGGGGGTTTAGGGTGTCGGGTGTCGGGCTAGGGTTTAGGGAGTGTGAGGCTAAGGGCTCTCCGTTTGAGAAACAAGTCAGGTTCCACAGACAGGCAGAGAAGTCAGGGGCTTTCGCACATCCGACACTCTCTACTGTACAATGGGGTGCTGCGTTCGGCTGGCAGGTTTGGCAGCTTCCTGCCGTATGGTACCGACTACTCCGGCGCAGTACTCGTCTGCTGTACACTGCTGACTGCTGCACTGTCTTCAGCTGCCGTATGCCACTTTGATCTCGTGCAGAACAAACCATGACATTGACTAAAAGCAGCAAAGTTCCCGTCCGTTTCATGATGCTCCACAAGGTGAAGGGTCGTGTGTCCTAATATGTCTTTGGGCTGCGTTGCCCATACACAAAGCAAAGCCTGTTGAGGCAGAAAGTAAAAAGAACGGGTGTCCGCATTAGCCCGATGTCGCGTCTGCTGAAAAGCTAAACGAGAGATTGTCGAGCTGCCATGCGCTATGCCGTTAACTTGGCCTCGCGGAGAAGACAAGTAAGCTACGACTTTCCCCCGTGAGCGTTAGTTGTTCATCTGAGCGAAAAAATCTGTGGCGAAACAAATGCAACCCTGACAATCTACCCTGCGGTAACTGCTTTCAGGAACAACAGGAACCATACACAAGGCAAGGCTTCCAGGAGCAAGAGACTGAAGCGACTCCGTTCTTGTTCATGTTGCTTGGCATTGGCCCAATGGCGCGTCTGCTGCCAAGCTGAACGAAACTTATCGTGCTGCCATGCGCCATGCAGTTAATTTGGCCTCGTGGAAAAGACGCTAGGACTGCTTCTCTCAGCGACGAAAAAACAACAGGTGGGAAACAACTGCAGCCGCGACTACGGTAAATGCTTTCATAAACCAAAAACCGTACACATATACAAGTCCATGCAAGAGACTCTAGCAACTCCGTTCTTGTGCCGTGTCCAACAACCACTCGCCAGCTTGCTACCATCTCGTACCGACTGCTCATGCACAGTATTGCACAGTACTGGCCTGCTGTATACTGTTGCACTGTCTGCGGTCTGCAGCCGTCGTCTGCCACTAAAATCCAGCTAATTTGGTCTCGTGCAATAATTAAAAAGCCAAGGAATTAGCCAAGAGCAATGTTGTTCGACAGCCCCATTGTTTTCATCATGAATCAACAAGTAAAATATCGGATCTCACACGCCCTCCCGCACATGTCCGCACACCTTCGTGGCAGTGGCAAGGAAAACGTGCAAGCTTAGTTGCATGTTCTTGGCGGCGGCAATTGCACGCTCGGACAACTCTGCCCCTTTGAATTCCTGCAGGTTCGTTTGCGAGCGGCCACTCACGCCGCGAGTACTCGAAGAAGTGTTTGAAACGCTACTTGCACGGGCCTCCGAAACATCACGTGTAAGCGCCAAACGCACAAATCCTAGCTTGTCGAGATGTCAAGCTGCGCTCCACTGAGATGCCGTCAGCTGCTTCGCTGATATGGCTCTAGCACCCAAATTCTGTCTGCCACGTAACGTCTGCAGCCGCAACATCGAACTGCCTGCCAAACGGTCGAAAATCAGCCACATGTGCCGCTCCGTTGGCCGCGCCGCAACTGCGTCTGGTTTTCTTCTGCTATGACTCTCATGTACCAGCAACTGTCGCCGAACCTCTGGGCGGCTTCTACTACAGACGTGGCTTTCAGATCTCTTTCTGCATGGAACCAGCTGTCAACCAGGTCTGTCTGGTCGCGGGACACAGGTCCAACAGGAGCAGGCTCGTCGCACCATCTGATGATTTCGCAGCCATCCTCGCCTGCATGTCACACGCAGGGAACGGCAGGATGCCGGGGCGTGTGAGATTTTGGGCACGCTACAACTGCAACTTTTTACGTCCTGGCCTGCGTCCGCGCAACTCCAAAACATCCGACCAACATCTGATTTGTCCCCTCGAGACCCTCGCTTGCAGCGCTTGGTGACTACAGGTTGGTCG